TTTCAGAAGACATTTATCCAACTATTTCCAAATTGATATAAACAAATTTAATAGGCTTTCTTAATCAGTTTTCAATATCTGAGGCTCATCTCTTTCATATATGGGCTATATAACTTTGGGCATGTTGTTAACCTGTGTGATCCTGAGCATTGCCCTAAAAAATATGGATAGTAACCCTCTTCACACACTAGTAGATGTGAATATTATATAATACATGTAAAAAGCACTTACAGAGCTCTAAGCTACTATACAGATATCTGTGCTGGTTCTTTTTTTTTTTTTTTCAGTTCTCCTTTGGAGTTAACTTTTAAGTATGCTGATACTGACAACCTTTTAGTTGTTATGGAAGATTATTTTGCTTTGTTTTGTTTTGGTGGGGATGGGCTATTGATAAATTCCAATAATAAGTTTAAGTGATTTTGTTTAAACATTTGCTGTCACTGAAACTAAAAATTTAGTTGTTTGGAGAGAAAGGGAAAATAGTACTCAAAAATGTTAAATAAAACAATTAATTGACAATGATGATTTTGATACTTTTTGGTAAAATAATGCCTGTAGTACATATATAGCTAGTAGTGTTTTTTCTCATTTCCTTCAGTTCATTCCATGTTCAAAGGTATTGTTATGTGAAAATGTTCTGAACATATTAGCTCTGAAATAAAAAATAATTTTCCTATCAAGCAGTCTATTCTATGGTATGCAGATTACAAATGAATGACAAGTTTTAGTAAAAGACAAGACGAGACTAAGATTAAATACGAATACATAAAAAGTAGCTGTCTTCATATGTATTTCAAAATATAAATACAATGTATGTATCTGTACTTAATTTTACAGAGTACAAATATATAGTTTATCACATGTTTAATGATTAATAATTTTAATTACAAATTTTGTTATTGCATTATTAACTTTTTCTCAATTCTCCTGATATTACTTTGTATAAGGTCAACAACTAACACTCATTTCCATTAATGCTCTAAAACTGCCAATTAATTTTAATTATGTCATGATTTTATTTGTTTTCCTACTAGTATTATTGCAACCCCTGGGCAATCTACAATTCAGTAATGAAAAAATTACAATAATATGACATTGTGACTTTATATGTTATCAATTTGGTAGGAATATGCTTAACTCTATTCTTTCCTACTACTATATTAAATTTTACATTTTAGAGTAATTTCTTTCTACACACCAAACAGTAGTAATTTATAAATTTTTCAGTGGCCAACAAGAAAGCCTTACCCCTCTCCTTAGCAATTTATTTTAAAATCATTAAGGGTTAATTTTTGTGAGTAGTGTAAAATAGGGGTACAATTTCAATTTCCTTCATGTGATTATCCACTTTTCTCAGCACTATTTTGAAGAGACTATCCTTTCCCTGTTGAGTATTCTTAGCTCCCCTGTCAAATATTAGTTGACTGTATACGTGAGGGTTTATTTCTGGGCTCTTGATACCATTCCATTGGTCTATGTGTCTGTTTTTATGACAGCACCATACTGTTTTGATTACTACAGCTTTGTGGTATAGTATGAAATTAGGAAGTGTGATGCCTCCTGCTTTGTTCTTTCTCAGGATTGCTTTGCTTATTCAGTGTCTTTTGTATTTCCATACAATTTTTAGGATTTTTTTTTCATATCTTTAAAAACATCATTGGAATTTTGATAGGGATTGCACTAAATATCCAAAATTCCACAATGGATCTTGATAAGGATTGCATATATAGATGGCTTTAGGTAGTATGGACATTTTTAACAATATTAATTCTTCCTATCCATGAACTTGGGATGTCTTTCCATTTATTGTGTCTTCTTCAATTTCTTTCATCAAAATCTTACAGTTTTCAGTGTACAGATCTTTCACCTCCTTAGTTAAATTTATTCCTATGTAGTTTATTGGTTTTGATGCTACTGTAAATGGGATTGTTTTCTTTATTCCTTTTTCAGATATTTTGTTATTAGTGTATAAAAATGCAACTGATTTTTGCATGCTGATTTTGTATCCTGCAACTTTACTGAATTCACTAATTAGTTCTAAATTTTTTGGTGGAGTCTTTAAGATTTTCTATATACAAGATCATATCATCAGTAAACAAAGACAATTTTACTTCTTCCTTTCCAATTAGGATGTTTATTTGTTTTTCTTAGTTAATTTATCTGGCTACTACTTTCTGTAATACGTTGAATAGGAGTGGTGTGAGTGGGTACCCTTGTCTTATTCCTGATCTTAGAGGAAAAATTTTCAACCTTTCATTGTTGAGTATAATGTTAGCTGTAGGCTTGTTATATATGACCTCTATTATGTTGAGGAATGTTTCTTTTATACCCAATTTGTTTAGAGTTTTTGTCATGAATCTATGTTGTGCTTAGTCAAATACTTTTTCTGAATCTATTGAGATCATCATACAATTTTTATCTTTTATTCTATTAATGTGGTGTATCATGTTTATTGATTTGGGTATGTTGAACCATCCTTCCATCCCAGGAATGAATTCCACTTGTTTATGATGTATGATTCTTTTAATGTGCTGTTGAATTCAGTTTGCTAACATTTTTTTAGTATATTTGCATCTATATTAATCAGGAAATTAGCCTATAGTTTTCTTTTCTTGTAGTCTTTTTGTCTCGCTTTGGTATCAGGGTAATGTAGGTCTTGTAAAATGAATTTGGGATTTTTCTCTCCTCTTCTACTTTTTGGAAGAGTTTGAGAAGGATTGGTATTAATTCCTCTTTGAATGTTTGGTAGAATTCATCAGGGAAGCCATCTGGTCCTGGCCTTTTCTTGTTGGGACATTTTTATTACTAATTCAATCTCCTTACTAGTAATTAGTCTATTCGGACTTTCTATTTCTTCGTGATTCAGTCTTGGTAGGTTGTATGTTTCTGGGAATTTATCTGTTTTTTCTAGGTTGTCCAATTTGTTAGCATTTAATTGTTCATAATAGTCTCATATGATCCGTTGTATTTCTGTGGTATCGGTTGTAATGTCTTCTCTTTCATTTCTGATTTTATCTATACCAGTCTTCTCTCTTTTTTTCTTAGTCTAGTTAAAGTTTTGTCAATTTTGCTTATCTTTTCTAAAAACAAGCTCTTAGTTTCATTGATTTTTTTAATTGTTTTTATGGTCTCTATTTCATGTAAAACTCAAAATAGATTAAAGTCTTAAACATAAGACCTCAAACCATAAAACTCCTAGAAGAAAACATAGGGGAAAAGCTCCTTGATCTTGGTCTTGGAAATGATTTTTTTAATATGACACCAAAAGCACAAACACAGTAAAAAGAAGTAAATGGGACTATATCAAACGAAAAGAACCTGTACAACAAAAGAAACAATCAACAAAATGAAAAGGCAGCCTATGGAATGGGATAAAATATTTGCAAATCATATATCTGATAAAGGATTAACATCTGAAATGCATAACGAGCTTATACAACTCAGTAGCAACAAAACAAACAACCCAAATAAAATATGGACAACCCAAATAAAATAAGAAACAGACACTTTTCCAAAGAAGACATAAAAATGACCAACAGGTACATGAAAAGATGCTCAGCATCACTAATCATCAGGGAAATACAAATCAAAAGCACAATAGGATACACACCTGTTAGAATGGCTATCATCAAAAAGACAAGAGATAACGAGTGTTGGCAAGGAGGTGGAGAAAAGGGAACTCTGTGCGCTCTTGTTGGGAATGCAAATTGGCGTGGCCACTAAGGAAAACAGTTTGGAGGTTCTTCAAAAAACTAAAAATAGAACTACTTCCAGTAGTTCCACTTCTGGGTATATACCCAAAGAAGATGAAAAGATGAAATGCATGTTCAATGCAGCATTATTTACAATAACCAAGACATGGAAACAACCTAAGTGCCCATCAACAGATAAATGGATTAAAAAAATGTAATATGTACATATATTGGAAATTATTCAGCCACAAAAAAGAAGGAAATCCTGCCATTTGCAACAACATAGATGAACCTTGAAGACATCATGCTAAGTGAGGAAAGTCAGACAGAGAAAGACAAATACTGTATAATATCACTTATACGTGGAATCTGAAAGAGCCAAACTCATAAAAGTAGAGAGTAGAGTGGCACTTGTCAGGAGCTGGGAGTGGGGGATATGGGGTACCATTAGTCAAAACGTACAAACTTCCAGTTCTAAGATGAATAAGTTCTGAGGGTCTAAAGTACAGCATGATGACTATAGTTAACAGGACTGTATCATATACTTGAAAGTTGCTAAGTGAGTAGATTTTAAATGTTCTCACCGCAAAGAAAAAAAATGGTAATTATTTGAGATGATGGAGGTGTTAACTAATGCTGCTGTGGTAATTATTTTGCAATATATAAGGGAATCAAATCAACACGTTGTATACTCTCAACTTACACAATGTTACGTGAAATTATATCTCAATAAAGCTGAAAAAAAATTTTAAAGTAGAAAAATTATTACGTGAACTATTAACCTTAATGAAATGTCTTTGCAATATTACCAAACAAGATTTTTATTTAAGGTAATGTTCTATCAATGTTTTTCGTGTGTTGTGTAAAATATAATACTGATCGACCCAAACAAGAAAACAATTTAATCAGATTTAACCCTCTCAATGATATCTCCTTTGGCCTCTGAAATAATTCCAACTCATGAAACAAATTAGTGACATTGTGGGTATAAGTTTGCATAGGGTTGAATATTTTAGATAATGCCATAACAATTAATTTAGGTTCCCTGTTATTAGGTTTTAAAATTTTAATTATAGGGGATTGGCTACTTACACATCACAAGTTAAGTAATGGTGAAAGTAAAAAATAAAATACATTCAATATAACTACCAAATAATTGCAACCATCCAGAAGGCAGCATGACAACCATGAACTGGAAAATTAAGAAAGCCTGAAGTTGGGCTATGTAAAGGGTGATTTCAAAACACTAAGAAGGAAGAACAAGAATGAACAAAGTACATGGATGAAAATACTTATGGAATCCTCAAGAGACAGAGTAGAAAATATTGGAAAGAGTAGAATAGGGTTAATGTAGGAAATAACGCATATCTATTGTTTGCTGGCCAGCATTCTTACCTGATAAAAGTAACTCTAATTTTCTTTGGGAAATTGCTTCTCCCTAAATTCTCAGCCATGAGATTTACATGGAATTCACTCCATTCCTGGTCATAGGGATCAACCATAATTGGATTAAGGCAATAAGGATAGTTTCTCTCTGGCCATGGTGGTGATTGTTTCATGAGAGAGTATGTGACATAAGCTGATTCAATAAAGTGAATGCGACACTTTTTTTCTGAGACTGCTTGGACACAATTTTGGTTTTCCCTGAAAAATACCAATGACAAAGTAGGTAGTGCTAGTAACTGCTGACAGTAATTTTGGTACTGATGCAGCAGTTTTGTTTTGTTTTTAGCAAAAAATTGATCAGCCAGAAGATGACGTTAACCCAGCAGGAATGGCACAAAGATAAATTTGGGTAGTGATGATTGAGTACTACATCAAACTATAACTGAACTAGATATTCCTCTATGATTTACAGGTATGTGCCCATAAACTTCCCTTTTTAATTTAAGCTAGTTTGAGTTGAATCACTTTCACCAAAAATAATCTTAATATATAAGACTAGAATTTATTCTGGAAAAATAGGTTTGAAGCCAGACTCTTCTAAAATTGGAGGGCCTAGAGAAGTTATTCTAAAATAAACAATGAGAAAATATTGAAGAATTATGAACAAAGTACTTATAAAATTACAGGGGTATGTCCTGATTTCTCTAAGAACATTCTGCCAATGGATTATATAGGAAATAGACTAGAGACAAAAAGAAAATTATCCATGTATAAAATTACGAGAGATTGAGATAAGATGATGGTTGGAAAGAAAGGAATTAATATGAGATACAATTTGAAAATATGATAGGAAATACATACTGAGGTTATATAAGAGACACTAAAATTACATAAATTAAAATATTTGGATTATTATTATTCTGTTTCTTCTAAAGGGCTTGGCAGAATTGAGTCCATTATCATGTTTACAGGGGGCTAGAGGGGTAAGGGGATCTTTTTTTTGAAAATCACACTCAGGTGACCACCTGTAGGGAGGCTTCTGCTGCCAGTCCCTCCCCAGACTGCTTAGGTGGAGACAGAATAGGGCCACCCATTGTCCTGACTCTGAGTCTGGCTGTGGCGGTGGGTCCTTCCTGGTGCCAACAGAACAAAGATCCACCTCTGGGCCTGCCCAGTTCTCTCCCTAGGACCACAGTGAGCTCAGTTAGCTTCTCCCAGGCCCTGGTTAGGCCTGGTGTCATCTCAAACCCCTGCTGAGGACAAGGGACATGGCTGGTGTGCTCCTTCCCTCAATCCATTGCTACATTATCCTGAAAGAATAAAATTGCCTTTCTCCCTAAAAAAAAAAAAAAAAAAGTTGTCCTATAGTCTTTGATTTTGGACATTTTAGAAATTTGTCTTTCAAGCACATTTTTTTCCAGCTTTATTGAGATATAATTGACATATAACATTGTATAAGTTCAAGGTGCATAACATGTTGATTTGATACACATATATTGCAATATGATTACCACACCAGCTTTAATTAACAACTCCATCACCTCACATAATTACTACTTCTTTTCTGTGGTGAGAATTTTTAAGATCTACTCACTTAGTAACATTCAAGTATATAATACAGTTATTATTAGCTATAATCACCATACTGTATATTAGATCCTCAGAACTTTTTCATCTTATAACTAGAAGTTTGTACCCTTTGACCAATGTCTCCTCATTTCCCCCACGAGCCAGCCCCTGGCAGCCACCACTTTCTATTCTTGTTTCTATGAGTTCAGCTCTTTCAGATTCCACGTATAAGTGATATTATATAGTATTTGTCTTTCTCTGTCAGACTTATTTCACTTAGCATAATGCCCTCAAGTTTTATCCAAGTTGTCACAAATGGCAGGATTTCCTTCTTTTTTATGGCTGAATAATATTCCAATGTGTAATCTTAAAACCATGTATAGCATGTGCCCTTGCCAAAGACATTCTTTCAGTTAGATGAATTTGCTGTTTCAAAATTTGCTAATGCTGAAAGTTCTCACTATTGCATTTTTAATAATTAATCTCTATGTTTCTAGCTAGCTATGTCACTGGAAATTCTACATAGAAGAAAACAGGCATTACCAAAGGCACGTCTGATACTTTTTCAAATATGCATATATGTGGTGTAAGCTGCATGGTAAAAGACAGGAAAAAGAGCAAGCACAGGTATTGTATTGAAATGAGTAGGTAATTTTGAAAAACCTTCATAATCACGGAATTTGAATGCTTCTTTATACCATCGAGCATAAAAAAACCTACATCTACTCTCTTTTCCCTTTTCCTTCTTTTGTTTTTGTTTTTGGTTGTGGTTTTTGGTGGTGATGGATGTCATCTTTCCACTTCTGTTATATAACAAAAAGATGAAGGACAGCTCTCTAGTGGCCTCTTGTTTGACAACACTGGAAATAAAGAAGTCAGATGGGAAGAAAGGAAAAAACAGAGGTAAGGAGAAAAAGAATACATAAAAAATACCTAGGGGCAGGGAAAACTAATACTTTCTCTAGATTCTGAAGTCAAATTGAGAAATTGAAGTCACATATAATTGGAATAGTGGGGATGCAAAAGTTTATGAAGTATATTTTATTATATTAATGTGTGTCATATTATAAACACTTATAATGTGTGTTTATGATGAGGTAGATCATCCCCATGCAAAGGAAGATGAAAGTGAACCTAGGCATACACAATTTTTGATATGTCTACCTTTAAGAGATAAATTGCCTCTAAATAATAATAATAAATTATTAAATATGTTTATATATTAATAATAAAATATTAATATATTTATTACTAAGTTGATTATCTTTATAAATAAAATCATAAATGATAAATGATTAAGAAAATAAAAACAAGACACTCCTATGAAACAACTCAACATTGTATGTAACAGATTATCAAGAAGATCTGCACATTAAGATATTTTATAGTGGATACTGAGAAAATAGAATAGTGATTAAAGCTGAGAAACCGTAAAGGTATTTGATGGAAAGAATATATTAATATTGTTGATTTAAATGTCACAACCCTCTGTGGTGGTAGAAAGCCCAGGTATGAATGTTTGGAGGCTTGGACTCTTGGATTCCTGCCACTCACTGGTCTTGGGCTTTGGATGAGTAACATATGACTAGAGAGCTATTTCTTCATCTCCAATATGAAGTGATCAAATGATATGACTATTTAGATCAATTTAACAATGATGACCTATCTATCTATTCATCCATCCACCAACCTACATACCTACATATTTATCTAAATATCTATTTATACACCTATAATCCTTGCCCCAAACATGCCTGCAGACCCAGAATCTGAGCGTCACAGGTTGGCTTCCCCAGAAAGCTAAGACTGACGTAGAGTTTAGTGCTCTTGGGATCAATATTCATGGGGAAAAGGGAGTGTAACAAGATTGAGCAGAGAGCAGGAGTCGTGGCAGAGACACAAGACATCAGTGGACCCCACAGGGAGTGCCAAAACTGGAGTGGCTCTTCAAAGTGGTCCTAAATTGGAGTGTATAGCCTGCGTCTAGAAGTCAATAAACACAGACCGCCAGAGCAAAGGACATGTCTTTAGGAAAAGTAACCTCCAGCTGAGGCAATTAATGAAGAGGATTGTAGCTGAGGATTGTCAGACAAGAACTTTTTTAGCAGTTTGGCTAAGTTATTCAGTCGTGAAGAAGGGATCACCTGTTGCAGCGCAATGTTATGACTTAGTGTTTGAGGTATCCCAGCTTTTCAAAAAGACCCACATATCTCCTTGAATATTCAGGGTGTGAGCAGTAATAACCAGCTGTGCAAAGCCCTTTTAACAAAATAACCAACTCTATCAGTGAAGTGTGATGTCACAAATTAATTTCCATTTTAAGTTTGGTTATGGTATAAATTCCTCAGAATTTATAAAGTTTATAACTCAGAACTCTCCAGTGTCCTTCTAGAAAGATTCCTCTATTCCTTTGAGGAAGCAGTTTTCACACACCCAACATATCTTTTCATTAAAAAATAATAATTTAATGCCTTTTTTATTACCCTGAAATGAAATTCATAGATAATATAGCCTATCTCTAAATATAATTTCAAAAATCAATATAATATATGAAAAAATAAGAGGAAAATAATTTATAATAAAATAACATGTATTTCAATATGTAAATATTCAGGCATAACAAAATTAGAAGACATGGTGAAGTAGTCAGATACACGCACTACATGCCCTGTAAATTTAGGCTACAAACACAGCCTTACACAAATATACTGTATTGAAAAATCAAATACCACTAGACGAGTTGCTATTGATGGTCTAGTGCCCAAAACTGAGGACAACTCTAAATTCCTGGACAAAACAAATTAAAATCTTTCCACTCTACTAACATTTGCATTTTCTGGAAATTTATTGTATCTTAAAACTGTGAAAAGAATATTGTGTTCATATGTAAAGAAAGTTAATTCCAGGTTCAGTTCATTATAAACATGTTTTTCATCTTTATGAATGTGTGGTAAGACATTAAAAGCACATATGAAACAAGGAACAATTTTCTTTGTGTGAGAATGGTTGCAGATTGCATTTCTTGCCAATCCATTAAATACCAATATCCCTCAATCATTAGGATAAACAAAAATGCTCCCTATACTTGTTTAATGCCTCCAAGGGCCAGTACCCCCCAGACAGGCATTACACCAGAATGTCTGTTCAGCCATATAGAGCCTGGAGGAATTGCCAAGCACCAATTCTATTTCTGGTGTTCATACATGAAATTTCAGCCAAGTCTCCATATCATATTCTCTCTCTTAAAGGGCTGGGTACACTTACTCTAAACTACTTTATTTGTTAAGGAGTTTACAAACCACCCCCTTTTCAGATTTTTTTTTCTCATTAGACATAAGGTAAAGGCAATTTGCTTGAGTT